CAGGATGGAGATTTGTTGGGACGATATTGAAGTCCTTCAGGGAAGATTCAGAACTGAAACTAGAGGGGGGCGGGTGGTGGAGACAGGTGGAGGGAGATGGATTTGAGAGACGTTTGGCTGTAAGTATGGCAGGATTTGGTGGTAGACTGATGATGCCATCGCGAGGAGGAGAGCAGAGTCAGGGTGAACTCCACGGTCTCTGGTGTACGAGATAAAGCTGGGAGTTGAAGCTAAGAGAGGACAGATGTGCCAGGGAGAGTGAAAGCTGTAAAAGACAAGAGGCCCAGGGTAGAACCCTAAGGAAATTAATATCGAATTGACTGCACACTGCTTCTGAGCTCTGATTGCTTTTCTTGTTCATCTCGGGGCTGGGGCTGATGATCGGATCCGGAGTTAGAACATGGCTTATGAGGAAGGGAGGATAAGGGAGTCTAAGCCCTTACCGGTCATAGGGTTCCACCCTTCAGCCCACTTACCTGTGGTTGAGCAGAGACTCTCCCTCCATGAGCCTTGTTTTTGGAGATCTCTTGGGGATGTTTCTCTCCCCTTCTCATGGATCGACTCCGACCAGTTTTCTCAAGAGAACTTCTCAGTTGTGAAAAAAGCTTAGAGATTCCTATTTGGTGGGAAGGCTCCTTCCTGTCTTAAGATTTGTCTGGCGTTTTTCATCCTGAGCCCTTGAATTCAGAGGTGTGCCAGTGGGAATTCGTGACTGATTCTCCCAGGAGAAGATTACCAGGAGCTGTAGGCTGTCTCTCAGGGATGCTGGAGGGATCTTGGTGAAGTTGCCTGAGAGTCCTCGGGGATCAGGGATCCTCCAGCCAATGTCAGGACAGACCCTCTTCGTTCACAGTGTCCATCTCCTGAGGACCTCTTTTTTTCCTGTTACTGAGACTCGAAAGGCTCTCAAGGCCAAGAGGTTCACAGGGACTTGTGTCAATATAATCTCCAGGTCTCACGAGAAGTGACTGAAAGTGCTAATGTATCAAGGTCCAGACGTGGCTCTCCCCGCTCCCCCAGTTGTCATCTCCTTCGATCAAAGTGACCTTGGGAAATGTACTTGATTTTTTTTTTTTTTACTGTATATAGACAATAATAGGATTCTATCGTAATTGCTTTATCAACCTAACAATATTGAAAATACAACTCTCCACCTCAAAACCACATAATTCTTCCCCCTACAAAATGGCTTTATTGTCTTGGTAGAAATAACAATGCTGGTTGTGAAATTTTTAAGCAAGAGGAAAGAACCAAGAAGAAAGTAAAATGTCATCTGACATCCCACCACCACAGAAAATGGGAACTGGCGAGTTTTTGTTCTAAATCTCTCCATGCCCTCATAAAAAGAATCAGACAATACAAGCTATTCTGTTATTTGCTTTCTCCCTCAGGGAGATGCCATGGACATTTTCCCATATCAATCAATAAGGAATAGACTACGTCATCGTATTTCGATGGCTGCCTATTGTTTTGTTGTCTACCCGTGCCATCATTAACTTAACTGTCCTCCTGGGTTGACAATAAGGTATTTCCAACTTTTCACTGTTATAAACAACTCTCTGACAGACACCCCCAGGTGTGGGGCCTGGAGGGCCAATCCCAATGAGAATGGGGCGTACGTAGAGAGACTGCTTTTCCTAGGCCAGGAAAGAAGAAATTGGCTCTGTCCTTGGGGAATCCAGCAACTTGGGTTCCACAATCCCAAGGGAAATCACCATGCAATGCAAAGCAAAGCAAAGGGACTTGTTAGGCAAATGACTTGTTCCCCAGGGGAAATCACCACGCAATGCAAAGCAAAGGGACTTGTTAGGCAAATGACTTGTTTGGGTAAAAAAAAATTCAGCCCCTAAACTACCGATCTGGAAGAGAGTCTCAGCAGAGACTGGATTGCTCATGGCTTCTGCAGGTAAAGGTGGGTTTATTCACCCAAGAGACACTTGTGAATCTCACCTGTGAATCTCACCTATAGAGGTGAAAGAGTGCTGAGTCCTCGGACCTTGCCCACTGCGTTCCAACCTGCACGAGTTGTCTGACGTGTCTTCCTCGCAAATGCCCCCTTCATGGTGTCAATCTCCTACTCACGAATAGACAACAGTCTCCTTCCTCTCTGCCGAGCATCGAAGCTGATCAGCTACACCCACGTAACTTCACTATTGGGACTGAGAGCGGAGACTTCCTATGGCAACGTGACTTAACTAATTGTTCTAGGAAATTCAGGCCTGGGATGATTTGACTGTAAACCAATAAATAACTTCACTGTTTGTTTCGTGAAATTCATCAAGTCGATTTATTTGAATAAACAGTTGCTCCTTTGGGCAAACAGCCCTCCTATCAGGACAAGAGATGACTCACCTGAGCAAACAGTTTTCTCAACAAACAATAGTTTACTTATCAAGATTTGCTCTCAGGGTCTTTCCTCCCTGTATCCACCAAACCTAAACTATAACGTCAGGAACCCTGTCCAGTCCCGATCTGCTCCCTGATTGGAAAGATCCATCTTAAAACTCTTGAGTCCAGACCCCTGAACCCTACAAATACCCTCCACTGGTTTACTCCTTTTGAGATGACACTAAGACTCTGTTTTCTCTCTTACTAGCGGGTCTAATCAACTCAGCTTTGGTTGTGCAGTAGGCTTTCTGGTTGTCTTTGGAAGAGTTATCAGTTGACAATCTACTCTCTACCTAGGGTTACTGAGGGCACTGGGCTTCCTTGTGTGGCCACCTTTATCTCTCCAATAATGATAATTGGAGAGGGAGAGCAGAGTCACATTGCCTCTGATAGGGACTACCCGATCAGTATATCTTTTATCTTATAGGTTCACAGGTACTGCCGAGAGGGTTGAGATTTCACCCGAATGTCACGACTACAAGGCGTCTTACACAGATCAGTTTGGGGGGAGCTATTTTAAGCAATATCACTTCTTCTCTAAGCCCCCCATTTTTCATCCAATCAATGAATCACTACTTGTCCACTCTCGAAACCAGTCTGGACTTGCCTTGGAAAAAGAAGTGTCTTTGTTATTTGTTGTGACTTAGGAAGAAAACACCACATTAGCCAGAAGAGGGGACCCAGGAAGGGGTGGAGGGAGAGGTAATTGGCTTAGGGAAGTGGGGCTCTCTTTGGTGGCAAGAGGCGTGGAGTCCATGCAATGGCAC